GTCAGTTGAGCTGACGTTTCCATTGAATTTCGACTCCCGCTGAGGGTGTTGATAAGACCGATGCGAGGTCAAAACTGCAGTCCACTGGTGTATGGATGAGGACAACTTTTGGGAAAGCAAAGCTCTGTGAAATTGAATGGCAACGTCAGCTCAACTCATATGATTGTGGCAAAATTCTTTTTCTACCAGTCCTTCGTCACCTTAAACAAAATTGGGTGAATACATCGCATAGCCATGCACTTAGCCGGTGAACTAGGTACCAACTGCAAAATTCTGATGGATTTGAACTAGATCTAGTCTCCCAACTTGGTATCCTATTGCGACATTTATGCTTCCAAGCAAAGTTTTAGGCTAATTCTTTTAACTTCTGTCTCTTCCTCCAGATGCTCTTCCTGATGATGACTCTAACCGTTCGATAGCTGCCCTTGATCCAAGCGTCTTCTTTTGGCTCTTCGTCCAGACTTTAAGCGAAATTCTCGTTTACTTCGCCCCCTTCCAATCTCCGGTTCATTGGATTCTTTTGAAGGAGGATGCCCATATCTTGTAGATATGAAGAGAAACTGGGTTTCGATGAATCTGTTGAGATAATCTTATTAGAAAGATTTTCGTTTCGTATGAAAGTGAATGAAGAAGAGTTTCTTTGGTCGATCTCACCAGATGCGGACTGATGAACCTCGTTGTACTCCAGCCGTTTGGCTTTGATATGATATTCATGTTGACGCAGTCCACGAGACTTCCTCCCTCGTTTCGGGTGAAAACGTGCTGAGCTTTAGTCCATCATTTGATGGACATCATCAGAGCTGGGTTTCATTCTTGTAAGAGTCTCACGATAATATGAAATGTATTCACCCAATTTCGTTTAAAGTGACGAAGGACTGGTTGAAGAAAACATCTCATATTACTGATTTACTGGTAGTCACGAAAACAATATTTAATTCTAAAAATAAAGTATAGTAGTCGATTGTTATAGCAGATATACGTTTGTTTCATCGGCAATCCCACCTGGATTTGAAGAACTTTTGGGAAAGCAAGGCAATGTCAAATTCAACGGAAACGTCAGTTCAACGCATATCATTGTGGGAAAATTCTTCTAATACCAGTCCTTCATTCCAATAAACGAAATTGA